GCAGAAGGGTGTTTTTGGAATTCAGCCAGACATCCTGGATTTAACTCATGTTTTGATGAAAATGATGGTGCTCAGGCTATAATCCAAGGAGTTTTCAAGTGAATGGTCTGGCCATCAAAGTCCAAATGCAGTAAATAGTCCTTTGCTTCATTTTCAACCCCATCTAGAGTGGCAGCAGAGCTCACAGGTAGACACTTCATAGACAGGAACTGTGGGAAGAGAGAGATGGCAGAGGATGTCTAATATTTTCTTGTGATTCATAGGTCATAGGCAGTGTAAACCCACAGCCCTGCCTGATGTGTTTGTGGGTACAGGACAGGGAACAGCACATCCCTGGAACAGTGGGAGATGGTCAGCTTAAAGGCTCTGCTGACCTCCTCTGGTACCCAGCGAGGTGCCAGCCCCACTGTGCTAAAGCTTCTCTCTCGTAAGTAATGTGCTCTTGCTTGGGAAACTTTTTCCCTGCTCCTTCTATGTGTCCTGGGTTCTTCTGTCTCTGTTACATAAGAAGCAAAAAACCCTGAACCAAAACAAAGAGAGCAAGAATCAGGGACCAGAAACTGGAAAGGCAAGTGCTACAAATAAAGAGCAGAATAGGAACTGCAAGTGGAGGCTGGAGCATTCTTTGCCAAGTACAGGAGCTGAGTGGGAAAAGAAAAAGCTACAGTTCATTCACAAAAACCACATTTGATTTCCCCTCTTGGATTTTCATCAAGATGAAACTTACTTTTTCTACTGCTAGTATGGAGGATTAGTCTTTTCTTTTCCTCTCTTTTTCCTATGCTGCTCCTTCTGCCAGTGCTTGCTCTGGTCTTTGTTTCACTCTCAAGCATCAAACAACAGCCCTTTCACCTGAGGCTTTTCCATTTCCCAGGTGTGTCAATGCAGTTCAGTTCTCACTCTGGTGCTAATGGACTTGGTGTGGACCTCAGCCTCTGCTGTCACCCTTTCCTTTGAGGACAGAGGATTTCCCACCTCTACCAAGGGAGTGCAGAGCTCTTCCTCCAAAATCTGGGGCACTGAGTGCTCCTGGTTAGGAAAGGTGACCAAAGGCTTTTCTGTTCCACGTCCCAGGTGAGGACTCAGCTCAGTCCCCAGCACAAAGAGGTGTTTCCTCAAAGCTTCATCCTCACAGCTTTAATACCAGCAGCAGCTTGCTTGGAGAATTGTCAGCAGTGATAAACTTGGTCCCATTCTGTTTCAAAATTGCTTTAAGAAAGATGCCTGGCTGTTTAATATTTAAGCTAAATGTTTAATGTTTAAACAGGGAAATTGGTCTGATTGTCAGAAAGGGCATTAAAGCAGGATGGGAACTGGTCTGTAATCTCTGGTGAACGCTGCCCTTTCTCTGCAACAGCGTGGTGCCTGGGAGCTGCAGGAGTTTCAGAAATGCCAATTTTAATCAACCTCTTTCATTTCATTTGCCACTTGCCAATCCCAGCAGTGAGACATGCTTTTCCCTGCAAATTGGGGAACATTGTACCTGGCCCTGCTTAAGAGTTTGAGACGAGTTCAGCTGAATCGAACTTGTACTTCAAACCCCAAACTATAATCACAATAGAAATGCGCATGGATAAGGTAAAAACTGAAGCTGGACAGTGTTGGCTCATGAATGTATTCCAGGTGATTTGGGGTCCCTTTTGCACGTGCACACAAAAGCTGGGAAGTTCTGATGTCAAGTTTAAAGTCAGGCCCAGGCAGCCACTCATTCTCCCACCAGCAGGACGGGAGAGAGAATTGGAAGGGTGAAAACCAGAAAAATCATCGGTTGAGATAAAGACAGTCTAATAGGGAAAGCAAAAGCTGCACACACAAACAAAGCAAAACAAGGAATTAATTCACTGCTTACCACAGATAGGAGGTGTCCAGCCATGTATCTCCAGGAGAGCAGGGACCATCACATATAACAGTGACTTGGGAAGACAAATTCCATCACATCAAATGTCCCACCATTCCTCCTTCCCCCCACTTTATACACTGAGCATGATGTCCTATGGTATGGAATATCCCTTTGGTCAGCTGTCCCAGCTGTGTCTCCTTCCAATCTCCCATGTACCCCCAACTTCCTTGCCAGACTGGCAATATGAAAATACCTTGGCTCTGTGTAAGCTCTGCTCAGCAACAACAAAAACATGTCTGTATTATCAACCCTGTGCCCTGCACAAATCCAAAACACACCTCTATACCTGCCACCAGGAGGAAAATTAACTCTACCCCAGCAAAAACCAGCACAGGCAGGCAGGGATTTCTGCTAGTCTATACATGGATCATCTCGAGCAGCACAAGGGTCTGGTAGCTGCCATACCTGATGTGCCTAGTGATTCCACATACTAGAGAAACACCACTTTCCAGAAAGTCACAAAAAACAATGACACAAGGAAGAATCTGAAGAAAATTTTATAAGAAGATCAAGGTTTCAGGACTATTGAAAGGCACATTTCACCCATGTTGAATGACAGTTGAGTCCATGGACACATACAAGGCTCAAACTTCATGGCAAAAAGACCACATCGTGATGGCACATTGTGAAACACACATTCCAGACTTCAGTTAAATGCTAAAGTGATTATTTTAAGTGTATCATGTACACAATAAGAGCAGAACAGGCAGATGCATCCAATTACTGTAATTTACAAGGCAGTAATTCAAGCCTCAAATACATTTCTCCTCCTTGGAAGAAGGCGGGACGGATTACGAGCAGAACGAGGGGTGGTGAATTGACAGGGAGCCAGGAGGCTGTGCCACTGGGAAAATAACAGCGAGCACCTGCTGCAGGTCAGAGGGGATTTCACTTTGCTCTAACAGCACTGCTCTAACAGCACAAGGCTGGGCTGGCCTGGAGGCTCTCGGGGCAGGGAGGAAGGAGAGCCACACCACGGCACAACTGCACTGGCACAGACACCCACAGAGCACAGCAGTGCAGCTGTTGGCTCAGCAGTGGGCAGAATAAGGTCCACTTGTGCTTCCTCTCTTGCTGTTTAGCAATGTGCTTCATGCTAATTACCTCCTTTCATCCAGCTCAGGGTTAAGTTTCACGTCGTGATGATTAATAATTAATCAAGTGCATTTGGAAATTAATTTGGCGATTCTACGTCTGATTGGCATGTTAATCTCTCCTGTGCAGTGGGAGTGTTAGAGGAATAACCTCAGATATTCTGAGCTGCTAGCTGAGGGGAATACATAAGGGCATTTATTATCTGGTGTGGTGATAAAAGAAGTGTTGAGTGGAAACCAAGGCATTCTCCAAGGCCTCTTTGCCTTTCAGGAGAGGTGTGACCTGCATTTTGCCTTGTCTCTGCTAGGAATATACCATTGATATTATCATGTCCAACCAAAAGAAATGGACAAGGCAAATTTGAAAAATGCCCCCATAGCTGATTTATTTCTTTTTAGCTGGTAGCAACTCTAGTAGATTTAATGCATTCATTATGGGACTAAGAAGAAAAATCACAAGGAGAATAACTTTTGCCCTTTCCAGCTGTCCATGCCACTTTTCTCCCAGATAACACTCATCTGGTAAAAAAGGAGAAGAAGAAGAAGCGTGCACCTTCCACTATTGTGTGGTCCCCACTAGTTTCGAACTAGCAGTCCCTTTTTGCAGGCAAACAGCCCCACAGCAGCCACAGAGGTGAGACACATGGTACAGCTAAGCAGGCACAGCAGTCCTGGTGCAGAGGGCAGGTTCCTCTCCCAGAAGGTGGTGGGGAATGGTTGGGCTGGGACATCCTAGAGGAGAGAGGAGATGGTATCACTGCAGGGTACTCCTCACCACGCAAGCAGGAAAGTGGCAAACATCCCCCACAAGGTTGAGGAAATCACAGGTTTTTGCCAAGGACCAGATTATGGGGGGAAGGATGGTCACAGCTGTGAAACCAGTAGTTTCTGTCATCCTGAACAACCACAGGACTGTGAAGGTGGAGTTACTTGTAACTGGAAGGAGGTTATATTTGCCTTAAAACCATGGCCTGGGACTGGGCAGAACTAAGCTGATTTCCTGCATTTTTCAGTCCCCCAGGCTCTGAGGCCATTGTTCTTGGCTCTGGACCATCCATCTCTCAGACATGGGTAATAATATTCCTTAGACAACTCCCAAAAATATGCCATCAGCATGTGAAGTGACCACTGAAACACCTGACTGACGGGTGTGAGCCTGATGGGGTGACAATGAGAAAATCTGCCTTACCTTCGACTCTGGCTCTGGCATCCAAATTTCATTCTCTGAGATCTTCCCCATCCTGTGCAATATCTAGAAGACAAAATTATTTGTACTACATAAGAAACAATTATAACTCCCTCTACTTGCAGTTTTGGAAAAGCAGAGTGTGTCAGAGCAAGGTGACATCGACAAAAGGCATAACTATGACTAGCTGAAAGTGCTTTGAACCTGCAAATGTACAGTGATTTCTGCTACAGCTTCTCTAGACGTTTATTTTAGTTTTTTTAATAAGTAAAAATGCTTTCTCATAAGACAGTTTGAGAAACAGCAACGTGAGGTTACTGCCAAGTGCAGTGGGACACAAAGCTTGTTAGGAGTGATGCTGCTTGGAACACAAACTAGAAAGAGGAGATATACAACCCTGGAGCTCTCACAGCATGGAATTATGAAGCCATCTCTGGCTATTCAGCCAGTACAAAGCTCATCAAGGATTTTTCTTGAGAATAAACTGATTGTAACAATCATGTGGGTTCTTGGGGGCAAATTAATGTCTCCAGAAGACGCAGCTCACCATCTTTGTAACTACTGCTCACAGGCATGGAGAAGAGACAAATTAGTGACTTGAAACTGAACAAGAAATGAGGATTATAAGGCAAATATGACATTCTGTCAAACAGAAACAAAGGGCTGATTTCCTCTTACAAAAGAGCTCCGTGGCTGTGCCATACAGCAGTTGTAACTGTAATGTACACCCTCTAATGTTTTTTTCCCCTCCCTCCAGATTGTTGTAAAGGGGATTTCATTGTGACTGGGAACCCAGCCCAGTGCATGTCATTCTGAGGAGATTTAGACATTATCAGAGCTGCACGTTACGGATTCAGAAAGCTGAGCTAACGGTACTCTCTTGTAAAGGAGCAGCAGAAGGAACAGATCAAAAGTAAGAACAACGTTCAGATTTCCAGATAGCTGCATAGGAAATAGCTGTGAGCATTTGTAATGACTTCAATTACTTTTAAAACATGCAGTGATTAATTTGTTAGAAATTAAGGTAGTATATCTATGGTCAGCATCAGGTTGGAGGTGTTTTTCCCTCTAGACATGAGGTATATGGCATGAGCTCCATTCTAAGTCTCCAGTGCAGCAACATGCTGAGTAATATACTGATTTGGGTGAGATTCTTGGCTTCACTTTGTTCAAAAACTAGAGTAAAAAAAAGAAAGGCTTTGGTTTATATTGTTTCCTGAGATCCTTCCCCATCAATTGTAAGAGCCTTTGCATGAAATCAGACCCTCCAAGCTGTACTTAATCCTTTTTAGCCTTCTAATAGAGATGTTGAAAGCAAACCAATGGTCTGTACCTCTCTGGCTGCTCTCTCTCCTGCCTGCACAGCCCCCTCCATGTATCCACTCCACTGGGTAGCTGTCTCCGTGCCAGCAAAGTAGATTCTGTCAACAGGCTGGCGAATGATCCTTCAAAACAAATGGAGAATGTCAGATGACAAGTAACAGGAAGGCGATGATCCCTCTAAAAGCAATTTGTGGCTTTGATGGAGCTCTTGACTTCAGCTCTCCAGAAGCCCTGCAGACCTGGGCAGGGAGCATGGTGCAATAAGCTGTCCCTGCAGGACCACATATTGTCTCTGTACCCAAAACTCAAGACCTAAGAGAGACAAAATCTAAGGCATAAATCAGTGTGCCCTGCTTCTGAGCAAAATAATATGGGCCTTATTTTAGTGCTGGGATAAGGGATAATCCTAAGAGCCTCCAGAAATGCAGTGCAGCAGAGAGATTTATGTCTTCTGCATAGCAGCTTTGTTGTTATCCTGTCATTACAGTGGAATGTGAATGACGTTTTTCCGGTGACAGGTCACTAATATCAGCTTCTATTTGGAGGCTGAACTTGCCCAGCTGCAAGTCCTGCCAAAAGGGGTGGCAGCTGAAGGTCTCAGCATTCAGGGAGTTGTATTCACCCTGTAAGGTCATAGAAGCCAGTCCCTGAGCCATGCAAAGCTGCACAAGCATCCTAATCAACCCAGGCAATCATCCCTTTCCCATTGAGACATGTGCCTGGTGTAGCTCCTGATAAGGTTTCCCTGTCTGCATGACACCACCTCCCCCAGGTCAGAGGCCTCACCCATCACTACCCAAGTGTTCAGATACATGACAACAGGAGTCTGTGCATGAGATTACTTATTCCCACAACAAATCCTGGCTCAGAGACGGGGTGAAACCACATGTTTGACATGTTAAGGAGCTCCTGGGCTTCACCTGAACCCAATGCTCTACCTCTGCAGTCAGTGAAGTCTCTTTTATCTGTCCAAGATGTGTGGCCTCAAGGTCTTAGGAAGCTTTAAAGGGATCCACTGAAAATGCTGTGTAGTGGAAAATACTTTTAGTAATCCAGTGGGGAAAGGTTTCATGGCTCTATCAGATCCCTTTGTGACTGTGCATTGTTTCCTTGAAAGTCAAAAGAGAAACTGTGTACTTATTAAAGCAAATAGCAAGATTCTTGTTAGCCAGGGAGTAGGGGAGTGGAAAGAGGGTTGGAGTTCCCCCAGTATTCTATATATGCCATGAATTTGTTACACAAGGTGTATCATTGCACATGAGCTAAGACATGTAAATTAGAAAGCAAAGCACTCTCTGTCTTACCTTCCATAGGAATACATTATGCCTGGTGGGAAGTAGGCTGTGTAACAACCCCCTGAATATTGCTCTGTGCTCCAGTTCTTTTCTTCATAATGCACAGGCTGTAAGTGTCAGCAAACATTACAGAGTGAAACATTGGCAGAGAAATTGGAAATAAAAAAACCCAGATTTCTTTTGAAGAGGGAAAAAACCAGGCTAAGAATACCTATCAAAGGAGTGCCATGTCATCTGGCTAATGCTATCCATCTGCACAAAACAAATTTTTGTGCTTTTACAGAATCACTAGACTCCCACAGGGAAATGACAGGACAAATTAAAACATGCACTGCCTTCTCTTTTCTTGTACAGAGTGAGACTGGCAATTCTCTTCTTCCTGCACTAGATGCTGCTGCCCTCCCCCCTTGGGAGTACAGATTGTATGGCACAACATGCAATTTCAGGTACACATTTTAGGTACCAGGAACTTTGGCTTCATCATCCAGAAAAAAAAAGGAGCAACATTACTGTACAACAGAGGTGAAAACAGGCATTCATTTCTTACTTGTAAAGCCTCTTTCATCCCCAATGCTTTGGCATATGCCTCACAGATCTTCTTCTTCCTGGACAAAAATAAAATCAGTCAGAAAAAAAAAGGGAAAAAAAACCTCTCAGCTCTTGCTGTTCTTATAATAAAAAACCCAAACAAATTTATTGCAACACATTGGAAAGAAAGTTGGGTTTGGCTTTGTTTTTAAGTCTAATTTCAAGTTCTCATATTAACATACATATTTCAAATGCTGATGCCTAAATGTTACATTCAAAATGGTCCCAGGGAATGGAAAATGAAGGTTGATTTTGGCAATGAGGTCTAAAAAAATAAATCTTTGTACAGTTATTTTAGGATGCAGAGCTAATTCATTCTCGTGTTCACTGGTGTAAGACCAGAAGAAAAGCAATATAAATCAATGAAATCCCTACAGATTTACTATAGCTGAGAATAAAATATGAGTTGGAGAATACTACTCCCATTCCTAAGCAGAACTCCTCTTTCACTTGCACAGTACCAAAAATCACAGTTATGAAGTACTGTTTGTTTATTTCACTGACTAATGGAGATACCATAATTTTGTAAACACAGAAGTTTAAAACTTCTATCACCCAGGCTGAATGCAAAAGACACCCTAAACTATATCAGTGCTCCCTATATCCCTGGGGTGAAGCATCATTCAGTGGCAATGCAGCCTGGGAACATCTTCAGAAAAGTCTTCTTGGTTCATTCACAAAGAGACACAGAGCTGGTAAGTCATGGCATGGAAGAGTGGCCAGGACTTGGAAACTCAGAAATATCCCTAACTGGATGGATATTAGCATTAGCATCTCAACATGGTTATGCTGAAAGCTCAGTTTTTGCCCCAATTTCCAGTACTGGTAGTTGCATTAAGCATATGTATATGTAGATATGAAAACACATATTCACACATCCCGGAGAACCAACTTGCTTCTGAAATATTTACAGCTTCTGAACTCTTACCTCTCTTCCTTACTGAGATGGGCCAGTTTAACAGCCTTTCTGGTAAGGATGAAACTGAAAAGGAAATTTGGTATATCAACATGATGCAGCATCAGCACCTCAGCTGATTCATAAGCTCCTGCTTGAAATGACTTTATACAAGGATGGGTGAAGCAATTTACTGGTATATAACAGGCTTGACATTTTTCATCATACCTCAATATGTAATAATTACAGGTCACACAGGTGAAAAGGCCTGTGCAGGATACCCTGGGGAGTTAGTTGAAAGGGAGAGCATGCATTCCCAGAGGGAAGATGTGCAGGGCTGCCTGGCATATCTACCAGATGAGAAAGTTGCAGACTGCAAATGTTCTCAAAGCTGCCAGCACTGGCCTCATTTTGCTTCGTGGGAATGAACTCACCATCCCCACTGACTCAGAACAGCAAAGTTGTACCAAAGTAGGCAGAGACACAACAGTGTCCAGCACAAACCAGCCTGTGCTGCCCACCCTTTTATACCTGTGCCTCAATACCTATACCTTATACCCTCTCACATCTAGGTCTTATCCAAAAGGACTAAGATCCAAGTTTTCTTGAGCTTTTAAAGTCTCACAGGCAGCTGAACATACCACTAACTGTGTCATTTGGTGCTAATAGTGTCATGGACCATTCCTGTAAGATCTGAGGCTAGCATTTATACACCTTGAAGGAAACAGATTTGCTGATTAGTTCATCTGACCTTAGGTGAGACATGCAGGGAATGAAGTATGTTCCTGCTCTGTTTTACAAAGTCATATAAATCCACAAGGAGAAAGAAAGCAGGAAACTGTTTCCCATATGGGGTTTGGAGGAGGCTTACTGCTCTCAAGTCATGCAAGTTTTTAAACCCTGAACATGCCCATAAACATGTACAGTTCAGTAGAAGTGGCAAGCTTTCCTTGCCAAACACTTAAGGAGTAGCTGCCTGACATTTATATTGGCCTTTTTTGGCAGTCTCACCTCAGATTACAGAGGAAACATTTCTGAAGATTGTTTGTTCATTTGGTTTCACCTATTTTAAAAGCCAGTCAATGCTGATACACATTTTCCCATCTCTTTGTCCAAAATACAACTTTTTTACTTGCCAGTTTCTTCAGAGTCCTGATTTCTTCAGGGCACAACTGCTGCCCTGCTCAACCACCAGATGATGTTCATTGTCCTGCCTCAGCTCAAAAGTGAGAGGAGGCAAATGAGGATTTCTTGGACAACTGCTTTTTCATTTTGGCCCAGGTGCAAAACAAAGCCAAACATAAGCTGAATATAGGCTTACAAAGCCAGGTAAGAAAGGGATTTATTTACAAATCTACTCCACACCTAAAAAAAGCCATGAACTGAATGCTTAAAATGGACTACAGCTGAATTCAGCAACACCTTCCCAACCACATCCTTTGTATTAGGCTATTTGTAGCAGAACCTACACGAAAAAGCTTACACAGACTAGAGAGGCATAAGAGCCTTGGCAGAAGTGCTCTACCCCATCTATGCAGACTGTGGAAATGGGCAACACTGATGCAGCCTGGACATTTCCCCTCTTCTTCCTCTTTCCACTCACTCATACAAAAAGAAATACACATCTCTAACCACGGGCTAGAAGCTTTTACCCCATAATGGCAGGGAAGGAACCATCAGGTTTTGTGTCATCTATGGTTATTCCAATTGGAGATTCTTCATCCTCAATGATAAAGGAACCACAATAACCTAAATGAAAAAAAAAAGCCAAGATAATTGTCAGAGAAACTTGTTGATGATCATTGTTTCTGATAGTAACAAGCAAGTAAAATGAACCATAAAAGGAATTGTGCAGTAATTTCTTTGTCACCAATAATAGTTACATGTCTGAAGTATGACAGTCCCTCTACTATCTTACCTCTGACTGTGGGAAATTTTCCACACAGACTTCTAAAAGTCTTTTAAATTCATTATTACTTAGTAAAGAATTTCTGTTGATTAGCTTTCTATTTTGGGGGCAATAAACATTAAAAATAAACTGATCTAGCAAGAACTCTGGGGATTCATTCCATGAGTAACTTTTGCCAAAACAAAACCCAGTGTAATTACACCTAGTCACTGCAGGCTCAAATTTACACTCTGTATTGATTTTGTTGATGATAAGATTGTCAGGAATGGTGCCCCATAACAGAAATTATGCAGCAGAAGCATAGACCATCTAATCTAGTACCATACTGGGACATGTTTCAGATGAACATGCAAAAAATCCCATCTAGAAATCAATGTGTATAAACATATAAACATGACTATATTTCTGTCTAATCCCAAGAGCCAGTTTATGCCCTGAAACATGCAAAATTTTACTACTTTGAGTAAGAAATATTCTCACCATTCTCACTATCGTTACAAAGGAAGTGGAAGCTAATCTGTTCATACAAATAGTTCTGAAAATGGTATCAGTTAAAGCTGAGAAACACATGATGTTGCAGTATGGAAAAAATATCTTGAGTTAAACAAAAAGCTAACCTACTTTTCCCAGTCCTCTGAGATATCAAGTCTGCAGAACAGAGGATTAAAACCAGGGAAAGGTCTTGCTTATACCTTAAGCTCTCCTTGTCATCTGCTGTAAATTCTCCTTGGCTGACCTAACTCTATCCCTGGCAGGGAGAAGCAGGGAGCTGCTGCTGCAAGGCCACTGTTTCTGTGCACTGCAGCTTCAGCAACGTTTCCCAGAGAAATCTTGTTTGTCCTCTTTGTCATCCCTCCTCAGCTAGCAACAATGAGATCTGAGATCCCACTTGTGTCTGGACTGATCTCTGGGACAAGACATGGAGGCAAGCTCAGAGGAAGAGTTCTCCTTTCTAGGGAGCTTTACTTTACACTGGTCTTTTTGTTTGGTTTTGGGGTTTTGCACATTTAACCCTCCTTTGGATTTATTCCCTGACTGACAGACAGCAGAGCTTTAAAATTTGTGTAGCATGAAGCTACACAAGGTCCTTCACTTTCCCCACCTACCTTTCCTTGCCCAGAAGGCTTCTCTGTAGTACATCATGCATTTGATGACACTCCCCATGGGCATACGCTGAATTAACTGGTTTCTCTTTGGTGGCAGCTCTGGTTTGTAATGAATCTTCGTTGTCAGGATGGGAGGGATGGCACTGATCACATACTTGCCCTGAAACACAGAACAGAGTCAGCACAGACAAGGCTTTCCTCTCACCTAGCTCACCCTGCAGGACACATTTGAAAGATGCTCTTAACAGTTATTAACAGCTTTCCCACACCTGACTCAGCTACGTGGCTTTCCCACACAGATATTTCCAGACAACCAAATAATTCTGCCATTTCAGAAAAAGGAGCTGGAAAAACATGCTATTTAATATTTGACAGCTTTCTGGACACTACAGGACCAGACTTGAAATTTGGCAAGGTGGGGAAATGGGACAAGACAGATCTTATGGCCTAGGTAAAACTGCCTTTTATCATTCCCAGGAAAATATGAACCACATTTGTCCAAATTACAAGATGTTAAAAAAAACCCAAAACAAGCTTGTGCATGTTCACATCATGAGCTGATGAAGCATTCCATAGCACCACTGCACAGAGGCAAAATCTTACTAAAGGTGTTTGAAATGTCTTTTTTCTGTTGTGCTGCAAATCACAAACTTAGATATGAACAGGAAGGTTATTTTACTTTTTTTATTCTCTTGGTCTCAGTGCAGAAGTAAAATGTAAAAATATATAAACACAGAAGAAGGCAGAAAAGGCAGAGTAATGACAGAAACTAAGGAGCAGAACACCAGGAAGAGACCCAGCCATAAATAAATCTGCAAAGCAGGTTTCACAGAGTGTCAGCATAGTCTGAGAAATAGACACACACCAATGGGTACTCCTGATTGCATCTGGCTAAGAGCTACAGCAGATGTATTCCCCAACTAAATGCACACTCCACTTTTATTCTGATCAAATTACCTCATATATCTCATGGTTTAGAGTCTCCACAATGACATTATCACCTGTCTGATCGATACTGATCACAGGTCTCTCCAGTTTAACTTTGCCTTTGAGGCGTTCCATTATTTTCTCCGATATCTGACCAGAACCCCCTTTAAACTTCCTCTCCTAAAAAACAAACAGAAAAGAAGCACAAACAAAAAATCACCAGCATTAATCACAATGACATGGAATATGACTTCTGCTCACCATCATGAAACTCCAGGCCAAATCTTCAGATCCTGAGGGTGCATGAAGAGACACAGACTTTCAGAAGAGCGAAGGCATAAACCAGAGCCACAGTAAGGATTGCTGACTAAACCACTTTTGCAATGGTTTCCCTAATTAACTGGCCTGAAGACTCTTAAAGCTTAGAGAACACATACATATAATGCAGGTATTCTAGCTAGCATAAACATATCACTTCATTAAAAAGTGGGTTTGAGTATTTTACCCATCACGATGCTACTAAAAACCTCATGTGTGACAAAGAAACCAACTTGTATCTGCACAGTGAAAGACCAGAAGCAAGACAGATCTTTAGCTGGGCCTAGTCTCAAGTGCAGCACTTTATCTGTCCCTGGGAAGGCACAAAGACACTGCTGTCTGGAAAAAAGCACAATCTGTGACACATTTCCCTGCGATGTCTGCGCAGAGGCTCAGGGGAAGCACTAACTCTCTTTTATCTACCAGCCACTAGCACTATATCAAGCAGCTCACTTTTACATATAAGATGTTGGTACTGGCAGGGAGGAAAGGACCCACAAATTCTTGTGCTGAAAGACACAAATGGCTGCCCAAGGAAGTTTTCTAAGACTTGTCATGGCCACTAAGTCAGAAACCCTTAGTGACTTTGCTCAATGGGTACTGATTGGGGTGATGGAGAGGGAAGCATGAGAGCAATCAAGACAGCTTGTCCCATCCAGGCACAGAGAAAAGGAAGTACTCTTCCTAGGCTAGCTTTTCCATCTCCACATATCTTGTATAGCTATGAGTATCCTGAGATTAATTTTATTTTTAATTCTTGTTGTAACATCTAGCAGTTACTGACATGGGACAGCAAATGTGGCTGAGGGGCTCCTGAGGGGGAAGGCTCTTAGGTCTGACTGCTACCTCAGGGCAGCATTAGCTCTACTGAAATCCTTCCAGATGTGGTTGTCTATTCTTACCCCAGACATTCATGGAGACTGCATCTCTCCAGGCAACTTCTCTTGATGTCTCCCAATCCCAGCACACTGAGAAGGGTGTGGTACTGTCTCCACTTCTGCAGTTGGTAGCTTTAGTCTGAAATGCTGCCTGTGCTTTCTGAGGCTGTGCTGACTGAGCTAGAAGTCTGCTAAAGGTGCCAACATACCACATCCCAATTACTTTGACAGACCTCTCTTTTCTGAAACTTCACCCATAACAATCACCTGGAAACCATGATATTCTGCTGGCACTTGCCATGGCCAAGGCCAGGAATGGTCTGAGGTAGCTCATAAACATTTGCTATCTACTTCCAACTCTTGTCATTAGTGGCTCAAACACTAAAAAACCCCATATTTCACTGTGAACTATACTTGCTTTGAAAAGATTCCAGTGTGCTAAGTAACCTATAGAAAATAAATTGGCAAAAAAGCAACAAGTACTGTGTTGAAATGAATGCAGAAACACCCCAATTGTTTAAATTGTCCCAATTTACCCCAAAGCCTAGCTAAGAAAATTCCTCATTGTACAGAGTTAGTTGAGAAGGCTGTTTCACCCCATGAGAACACAATTGTCTCCAGTGCCACATGCACTTGCTGTTTCAGCATCTTTCCATTAATTGCAGGGCTCTGATGGGTCTAACACTCCACTTGCTCATTTTGGTTGAGATGAGGAAGAATATGAGACATTCTGTACCTGACCCCCATTGGTGATGGAGAAAATCCTGGATGTGCCCCCACACTGCCTCACATACCACAGGAACCAGAGAGCAGAGACTTCATGAGGCTCAGACGTGACGTTGACGTTCACAAAGAGAGTGGCAAAATCTTTAACAGCTCTGCATGAGACACAAGAGCAAAAAGACAGTAAGAAAATGTGACTTCCTGACTTCTTTCAGGATTTTCTTTGTTGTTCTTGATAAGGGCTGCTCTTCCAAAGTCAGCAAAGTCATGGTGATTTATATCTGTTTGATTTTTAATCTGTAGTGAGACTGTTTAAATAGGTTTATACCAGCACCTCCCTCCCAAAGTATTTACCTGTTAAGTTTGAAATCACAGTGATTTTGCCTTAACTATGTCTTTAAATAGTTTCCCAGCTGCTGTTCCTTTCATCAGAACAAATATTTTTCTCAACAGAAGAATGTATTTGGTAACCAAGTTAGTGAAGCTTTTCTGCATTTCTTCTCCACAGGGAGCTCATTGGGTACAAAGATTCCAAGGTCTGATGGGTCCTGAGGGACTGGACCAGCCACACAGCCAAGACATTCCCCATCTCCTACGTAACTGCTGCACAGATCTTTCATGAAACCAAGATCAGACATGGTAAACAGCCCAGAGAAACCAAATTGTCAATCTTTGCCATAAATATAAGAAGGGGGTCATCTGTCTACCACAATGACTTCCTTGAAAGTAAACAGAGATACAGCAGCAGAACTGAGGACCTGAATACTCCTGTTTCTTTCATTTGTGGCTACAGATTGCTAAAGAAATTGAGATCATTTTGCAAACAAGGTAAAAGGACTTTGACTTGGATGAAGTTTCATAAAACAACTGGAATTTATAATGATCTGCTAAAGCGAAGAACTTTGCAAGTTATCTGGGCTAAAATATGTAACTTATAAAGTTTTATAACCTCATTTCCCTGAGGATGAAGTCCAGTCACCCCTATTTAATTAGCCAGGACATGAAAATGTCTTGCGCACATGAACCCTCTGGCAAAATCTTGAAAGCACCAAGCCACTAAAGAGTTGGAGCAGGTTCAAGTCTGAGAAACATGAAGAGAGTCTCCAGATGCTGATCTGTGACACATGACAAACCAATCTTCTTATAGAATCTTGACCCAAGCCACACAGAAAACGCAGCAGAAGAGCTTTTCTGTTTAGAGCACTACATTTTTTTGACTAAGTGTACAAAAATCTATCTTGGCTTTAAGATCTAAAATGGGTTTTTACTGAGTTCTTGAATGTGTTTGAGCTAAACATATCCATTAAAACTGGACTGCCACAAAACCACTGGCAGTAGAAGCTGCCTTGCAGAGAACCCTGTCACAGGAGGGATTGCTATAAACCCAGTCCTGCTTATAGCCCACCAGCTCCCTAAGAGCAACAGTAAAAACTAGAAGAGGAAGAGCAAGTGCACTTGCAACTGAAAGGGTAGTTCAAAGTAACAGTTTGCAGGCAGATTGCTGATAAATCTAATTGTCAAGAATACTACAGTGCCACAGATAGCAAGAGAAAGTCCAAATGGCTGTACTGCATATCATATGGAGCTGGAGTAAGATTTTAAGCCAGCAAAATAAATTTCAAATGGAAAGTTTTGGTCATGAAGCTGCAGGCACAGCAGTCAGAATGAAAGGTCAAACAGAGCACAGCCACAGGAATAAAAGACACTGAATACAAGGGAGGAGAGTGTTACAGAATAGCACAGGGGCCAGCTAGTCTTTAATGCCACTGTCTAGCCAACCCAAACCTCACCTCAAACAGCCCCTGATCTCTCACTGCCTGTACCCCAGAAAGCCACTATCATTCTGCAGCTGGATTTCAAAGTGAATAAGCAGTTACATACTTGGTCCAGCAAATCTTATTTATCAGCTCTTTCATGGTCATTTTGTCCCATTCTTCAGCATGTGGAGCATCCCATGGTGCTTCAACAGGAATCTGGAGACAGGGGGGAAATAGTCAATAAATTATTCAGTACTTCATCATTGCCTGGTCATAGCTAGTTACTAGCACAGACTTGATTGATATGTTGGCCAGAAGTTATTTTTGTCCCCTGCACATGGCTGTCAGTTTGGACTACATTCAGTAAATGGAAGAGTTTCCATTCACACCTTTGGGCACGAATTGTACCATGGCCACCAAATCTGGCCTTGTCTGGCCAAAGAACTGTATCCACATGTTGGGACTCATCTGGCCTTCATTTTTCCAGAAATGAGGTGTCTATTCCAATTCAGTTCTCTTGGTGTCCACTACCAGTTTAGGGGAAAATTACTTCTTCAGTCAGAGATTCAGTCAGTTCCAAGACAGTTATCCAAAAGCCCCTATGTCTCTGTTGACTACAGAGTGAGGAAAAATACCTGGATACTACTGAATTATTTTTAGACAGTTAAATCCTTAATAATAGTTCTTGGCATGTAAGTAACATGACACTATCATATATCTGAATCTTTTGAAAAAATGTATTATTTGACAAAAGAATGTGCAGTATCATATACAAATTTGATTCTGCAAAACCACATTAACCCAATGAGCTTTGCAGGAGTACAGAAAGTTATGCTTCAAGGTTATGGTAAGATAGAGCCCTTGGTTTGTAGCTAGATTATAAGGCAACTGATGAATATTTGAAAGACAGTGCAATGCTCCAGGGGCTGCAGTTGTACTGCTTAAATTTTGAATTTTAAAATAAATTTACTGTGAAGACAAACTGGAGCCCAGCTTAGGCAGCCACAAAAAAGAATCATCTTTACTCAAACAGCTGTCACAAGGGAAGGGAAAAAACCCTTCTCATTTCCCAGCTCATGGAATGGCTTTCCCTGTCATAAGAACATACACTGAAGTTCAACCTCTTTTTTTTTTCAGATATCTTAGGCACCTCCAGATCTTTTTGTCTCTTCTCATAGACTAGTTTGGGTTGGAAGGGATCTCTAAAAGTAATCTATTCCAACCTCCTCTCAGTGAGGAAAACCTACTATTGCCAACAGTTCCTGGGCAATATAGATATCCTTCCTCATGGTTTGGAGGGTTTTGTTTGTTGATTTTTTGTGGCCTGTTTTTTGTCTTATATTAAAAATATATTAATGTTGGGGTTTTTTATGTTAAAGAAGCAATAAAAAAAGCCTGCCAGGAACAAAAAAAAGCCCTAAACCTAATTTGCTCACAGTGACATGAGCATTGTAGGAATCATACAATTTACACAGAATACCTCTTTTCCCATCTTGTCCATGGTTCTCCAAAAGTTATTGTAATCCAGATAAACTAAGGGATTCCATGTTGAAGGGCAAATACCTGTGAAATTCCGTGACTTTCCCTAAAATGAGAACATAAACAACTGAAATAGAACAGAGCATATCTCCATTACTCAAGAACACAAAATTCTCAGTCATCACATGGTTGACCTTTTGCTCCAAAAGACCTAGTCGGGTTTTTTCCTTTTTTTTCTCTCCCTGCATATGCATGAAGTTAAGTACAAGGGAAAAAACAGTTGGACTGACATTAACTAGGACAATAATACTTTTTAATTTTTATCAGTAGGGATGGGACAGGAACATTTGTTCTGAGCAGGTTGTCAAATTCTGGGCTAAGGAGACTTTAGCAATGGCCAAAGAGGTAATATTCCTTGTTCCTAAGCATTCTTCATCATGACATATGAATGAATCTAGTATTTGCCTGCTTGCTGAAATGTGCATCCTAAAATTTGCCTAAAACTGAATGCATTTTAAACTATCTAAGCACCTTTGTGGTACACCTCACCTATAAAAAGAAAATATACCTCTTTATTGTGCCACGGACTTTTGGAGAAACCTAGCCTAAAAAAAATTGCCAAAAAGAATGTTTTTGCCTGCAGGAAGAAAAAGATCATACACTTGCAAAAGTGCTGTCAGTACTTACAATGTGTATGACACAGAGCTGCAACAGGAATAGACTGTTTCAGACAATCCTGTGATACAATGATAAGTGAAACAATCTAAGAGCAGCTGTTTCTTCATGATAACTCTAATCTGAAAGAGAACTGCATGAGCAGGCAACATTTTCTCCTAGTAAATTGCTTTGAACCTTCTCCCATGTAAGTAAGTGTCAAAATTTCTCATCAGACTTTTCTACTGTTTGCTCTTCCAGATGTGCCAGAAGTTTGCATGGGGTCACATGGCAGGATGCAGCATGACAGGTAGGAGCTGGTGTGCTAAGAAATGTACAACCTGCTTTTCAGTGCAATGCACACCATGCCAGACCATCACACCTGGCACATAAGAGTCACAGACCAAGCCAGAGGCTGCAGTGCTGCAAATGCAGGAGATGGTGACCCAGGGACAGGGACACAAAGCACGAGCCAAATGCACCTTCCTCACACTTGGTGAGAGAGTATTTATCTTCCCCTCTGATAATTCTCAGATCCCACTCCCAATAAGTTAAAACAGAATAACAACACTTCAATCAGGTGCTTTCTGGATTACTAAATGTGAGCTTTAAATGAAACCTTCTTAACGATGGTTTCATTTTAAAACGAAACCCTCATTAAAAATGAAAACCCAGTTCTCATTACTGCCAGTAGTTTCCAAAGCTCAATACCTTTGGGTATGTCAGCAGGGAAGATGCAACACTTACCCCTTTATGATGAAACATGTGGCCATTGACATTCACTTTATAGGTCTCCACCCCCAGCTCTTTTGACAGTCGGAGAATCCGGTTTTGGGTAGGTCCCACGTACGATCCACCAACATCTACGTAATTAACTTGGTCATTCTGTCAAAACAATACAGGAATCAGAAGGTGTGCAGGAAGCTCCTGAATACACAGAAGTAGAAAGAATTATCCCATACTGCATGTGTTTGGAATGTGTGTGTAAGACATCCAGAAGAATTTCTTCATGAGAAAGGTTGTTGAGCATTTGAACGAGCTGCCCAGGGAGGTGAGGGAGTCACTGTCCCTGGAAGTGTTCAAGAAACAATTGGATATAGAACTTAGTGCTATGGTCTAGTTGACAAGGTGGTGATCAGTCAAAGGTTGCACTTGAAGATCTTAGAGGTTTTTTTCCTACCTGAACGATTCTGTGATTCTATGTACTGACTGACTCAAAAGTAGGCAGTATTGAGCCCTGTAATCACAGACACAGAGATCATAGTGTCTTCACTCATGCACGAGTGCAATTGGGTCTAACTCTTGTTTACATTCCACTATAGTTTACAGTATTGGCTCTTGATGAATTCATGCTGACTGACTACTTTCTTGTCTTTCATGTGCCTGGAGAGGATACCCAGAACTAGTAGCTCTATTATCACCTCCTGAGGGATTGAGTTGAGGCTGACCAGCCTGTAGATCCCTGGGTCCTCCTCCTTGCTCTTCTTGAAGATAGGAGTGATGTTTGTCATGTTGTAGACCAGCACAAGTGAGAGTCCAGCACCTCATGAAGCACTTACCCTGATGGTGAATGTCCTTCCTCCAACTCTGTTCCGGGCCTCAAGAACCACCACGCTGACCCCAGACTCAGACAGCAACTTCGCAGCCGACAAACCTACCAGAGAAAGAGAAAGTGCTTTAAAGCAAGTGGCAGCAATCAGCCACAATAATGGTCAAAAACTAAACCAAAGCTTCAAGGTCAGAGATTTCCATAGCCTGTTCTCATAAATTCCTGAGAGAAGCCAGAAACTTTTCACGGTGTCTCACCACAGAAATCATGTGGCTGCTGTTTAGTTGCATGTTATAACCATCTCCATTCCAGCAGTATTCACAGACTGAAGTTTCCTCAGTTGGGTTAGCATTTTGGCATTTTAAAACCAGTAAAATCTCAATTATTAAGGGACACACATCTGATTCTTAATTTGTGCAGTGCATAGAAAGGCAGCACCCAGCTTGTGGGACTTGCAGTGCTAAAGCGACAGAAAGAATAACGTTGAAGCAAGGTAGGTTTCCAGCTCCTTCTCTCACACATCCGTTCTCTGATCCATTGCCACCCATTGTCCTCATTCACATGCAGAAGGAAAGTCTGCTTCACTGTCAAGATTCATTTTCAGCAATGGAGTTTGACCACGGCAATCAAACAGGCTGTATGCAGATACTTTATAAAAGGAATTATGGTCTCAGCAAAAAAATCATCCAATTATGGGACTTTGTGATGGAGCCACTAGAGACAACTGAAAATTCAATAGGACAGGAGACCTCTTTGCTTTTGACAAATGTGAGCTGAAATTGTAAAAAGCAATCATGAGTTAGTGAAATCAGATTACCCCATTGCCCTGCAGGCCAATTTGGCACTGAAGTATTATTTCTTTGGAGTTGTTTCCCCTCCTTAAGTATACAAAAGCCAGTCTTATTGATCAGAACTTCCAAGATACCCTGCAGGAAGGAATAATGATATTATACTCATGTTTATTACACTGCCTTGAAATGTGATTAAAACCAACTGTCTGTGTGCCCACAAAGACTGAATGTCTGAAAAGACCAGAGGAGAGGAATTGTTCTGGGCAGTGTTAAGTGTATTCTAAGGACAATGCAGAATAGACCATAAACTTCACTGCACAAAATCTTTTAATGGGGAAGTGGAACACTGTTAACTTGAAACCAGAACTGAGGAAGTTCAAATGTCTTACATAGACAAAAATTACACATACAATTTCCATACTCATCCTGGCACCAAGTTCTTTAGATTGCTGTTGGAGCAATTCTTCCATCTATTTAATATTCTGTTTTTTAAAAATGCAAACCATTTGTCAGTGGCGTGGACATCTTATAAATTGATCTGATTTATTTCAGTACTTTTTGACAATTATTTTCCTCCTACATCTCTGCTAC